TTGCCCGGGAAGGGGACTCCCTAATATCAAAGTGAGGGGGTCCTCGGCGTCCCTTTTAGGGTTTGAAATCGGTATTTTGGTCCCGCTTAGGGTGATAATGACGAGAATTCCACCAACTGAGTTTTGTGGTCCCTTTTAGGGTATATGACGTCCCTAAGCCGTCATTATGAGATCAAAAACCACAGCTGCTAATTAGATGATTGATTTCATTTTAATCAATTTCACGTCTTGTCTCTTAAGGGTGTACTGACATATCCGTTGCTAGACGACCTGGCTGCTATGGATCGCTATGCAACCAATCGGAGCTTAATTAAAAAAATAAAGTATTCGGCGAGCGGAACATCAAATGGACGTGTTTTTTCAGTTTTTATGTTCTTTACAGCCTCCTCTTCAGAACCAAGCATGGGTTTGCCGAAAAATTAAGAAATACGAAAGTTATTGGCATTTTTCGCTTATTTGTGGCATTTAAAAAWTCATAAAAAGCTTATTTKKCAATCATTCTAAAAACRCATGCTTGCATTTACGGACTTAGATATGAAGATTCKTTTCATCCATTTTAAATYGTTTATTTTACTTTGCTTGATGAAATTATAGCCTTTTTTCATATTTATGACGTCACGTGATGACGTCATACCACAACGTCATGGAATACGTTATTTTTCTTTGGTAAGGCTAAATACCAAATATGAAAGCGATTTTCCTCTTTTTAGTCATTTTAGAGAACTACTGAATTTCCCTAGCAACTAGAGAACTACTGAATTTCCCTAGCAACGGATAGAGTGCACGTCACATAAGCATGAAACAATTCTTAAYDTGYRTTGCTAAATAAGATTTAGTTATCAACTAACTAAGAATTCAACAAAGCATAAACACAATGCCAATTATTTAAATTCCTTTGTACCATTGTTCTCAATTCTTAGTTAGTTGATAACTAATTCTTATTTAGCACTACATAGTTAAGAATTGTTTCATGCTTATGTGACTTGCACTCTATGTCAGTACACCCTTAACACTCCTTAATAGACGAGATTATTGGTCCCTTTTAGGGATGAAATTTCAGCACTGCCACGCCCATCATCTCCAAATACAGGTCCCTCTTAGGGGTCATTTTCATAATTTCCGCCGAGGACCCCCACCCTTTGATATTAGGGAGTCCCAATACAAAACAACGGTTTCGGCTCAAGTTAGTTTTATTCTCTGAAGTTTCATGTTATGGGCATATACAAGATAGATTCAGGAACAACAGAAGACATGCATTTTCATCTTCATTCATACTTCTTTATGTTGATTTGTTTTCTGGTTTGATGGAGTATTTTATCGCACACGGTAAAGAACCTTGCGTTGCAGTCTGTGCTCAATTTCACCTCGTCTTATCATCAAATACAACACCATTTGTATGGCGCGTTCAGAGTAATTCTGTATGGGAAAAAAACATGATTAGTGGACTGNTAACAGAAAACACTGTCGAACAAGGGATAAAACAATAAATGTAGATTTATAACACTTTGACTTGTAATGGACTACTTATAAGAACCATGGCGGGGAAATTCAGTCAACTCTACTAAAACTTGTTTTCAAAGCATTTAATAAGAAGCTTTCAGTTTTCTGAAAAAGTCAACTTAGTTGACTTCTAAATTCTAAAATTTCCAAAGAAATGTATATGTGATCTCGCGAATGTGTCCGGGAAATGGTCAAAATGCGGACACATTCACGGCTTCCCATACATTTCTTTGGAAATTTTAGAATATTTGAAAGGCCGTAACTAGTTCACTATTGAACTTATTGACGCCAGATTTTGGAATTTTGCATTTCTCAACGTGGGCTTTCTTTCTATTAAGTCTTATCTCGTGATTATCCAATAGCCGACTTGCGAATTACGCATCAATAGTCACATACAAAGGAATCAAGACGAGGCGCCGTGCTAAAGACAATAGATTTTCACAAAAAAGCACGGCGCCTCGTCTTGATTCCTTTGTATGTGACTATTGATTCGTAATTCTCAAGTCGGCTAAATCCGGCAATGGAATGATCCTCTATAGCGTAAATTAATCTATGACAACAATGTGTTGTGTGGTCCAGACATTCACTAGGTCCAACTCTTACTCTCCCTCATTAACCCGAATCTTTTTATATTCCTTTAAAAGCCAAACCTTATATACAACAAGTTGGATTTTACCCTTGCTCATAGTGTATGTAGGGGACCAACTAGCACCAAGTGCTGTTTAAATCGTAAGACCAAAACACTAAATCAAAGACTTTTTGTTCCGGCCTGTTGATCATGGGTAAATTCCAACCTTTGTTGCCCGGGGTGTCCAAAAAAAAATCAACCAAGCCGGTTGTAGATTGTGTCTGCAGATGAATAAACAACGGTTTCGGCTCAAGTTAGTTTTATTGTCTGAAGTTTCATGTTATGGGCATATACAATAGATTCAGGAACAACAGAAGACATGCATTTTCATCTTCATTCATACTTCTTTATGTTGATTTGTTTTCTGGTTTGATGGAGTATTTTATCGCACACGGTAAAGAACCTTGCGTTGCAGTCTGTGCTCAATTTCACCTCGTCTTATCATCAAATACAACACCATTTGTATGGCGCGTTCAGAGTAATTCTGTATGGGAAAAAAACATGATTAGTGGACTGAATATACACCGCAAAAAAAGGTATTTTACCTGTATGCATGCAATTAGTCGAACCACTATTTAACCAGGTATTTTTTAAATGGTACTTATTAGTAACGATTTTGTGATAGTACTCAGAATAACGTAACTTAAATGTGTTATTCTGTGTTCTTATACTATTGGTATTTAGTGAGAAAATAAGCAAGCAAACATTCCTCAGTTAAAGAAGACTTGAAGACCTCTGCAACTCGTTTATTGTGTTGATGCAGAGCCTTCCTGAATTAGATCTATCAAGCATCAAAATCATGGAATTGAATCATGGAAGAGAACATTAGACCATTAGAAATACACTTAGTGTAATACTATTTTATCATCTGAGCTTTAGAAAGGAATTTAGAAACTTTTCTCTTTACTGTAATTCCTGATATTTTTTACCATATATATTGCAGTTTTCTTGAGGGTAATTATTATAATACGATTATTATAATGAAATATATCTAACAGTCAATCTGAAAGGTGGGGTAGAGATGTTACTTATGATTTCACCTGTTTCAGGAAATCAGCTATAATTCTTTGCTCTGAAACCTGAGGAGTAAAACGATTGCAAATATTTATTATAATAGATGGTTACTTAATGAATAAATGGAAGTTTGATCTCACCAAATACTTTCTAACTTTGRGCTTTATTTTCATTAGAATTATTATTCAATCTAAACACACCTAATTGAACAATACGTAGTTGGGTTCCAAAAGGTAAACTCATTAAAGCTATGACTGCAAAGCAGCATGGGAACTACAACAACCTTTATTTCGTACCTGGAAAGCAAATGTTCTGAGTATAACAGTGTTCAGCCTGTACTGAATAGAATGACTTTCTCTTCGAGTAATGCTATACTGTAACATGTTTGAGTCCCTTCGATGTTACCTTTTTACAAACCGACAACGTATTTTTGAATTAGGTGAAAAAGGCCTTTTATGTACATGTAGCCTTCATAATATGAAAACCTATTGCTATCTAACATTATATTGATTGCAAATACCCCATTAAMATACCTGAGTTCCAATGGCAAATCTTCTTTTGATTTGTTTCTCAATTTGACGAACCTCCTGGATGTCTTGTTCTGGGGTAAAGTCTTGAGCTCCTGATAGAAATAYGTGAAATGATTACRACARCTTCAACAATTCACTGAGCATGTATCGAACTCACTAATAATCCATGATTTAATTGCTAAATGTACATGAGCAAATGAAACTCTGATCTCTGAGGTCGACAAATTTAATGACGAAAATGTGATCGCTGAGCACTAAAACAACGCTGATCCGATACACTTCACCACTTCTGTCAAGGTGGTCGTTCTATTTCTGGACATCATTTTACTGTAGCTATGAGATTGATTTAAGGTAGGTGTGGTCACATGATCCCAGAGACCATGTTTGCTATCAATGAAAACAATGCACATATTATGGCAAAGAAACTGGGGTTACAAATAGGTATTTTTAAAAGGATAACAATCATGTTTACCTGCAAGGCTTCCCGACATAGCTGCATCTAGTGTTGATACTTGAAACAGTCTCAATGCTTCATCAACATGAGCTTCACTAGCAAATGGCACAAGAGCCATTTTTGCCAACGATTCAGAAATTCGGATGATAGCTTCAAGTTGTCTGTGAAATGCAAATAGTTGTTACCAAAACCCTTCCAATGAATTCAACAATTATTAAGCAACTCAAACAATTTTAAACAAACTGTGAAAAATATGACTAAAAGCCAAAATGGATTAATGTCAAGCAAACTGTTTCTTTACAGCAAGTCCATTTTAGAGTAATGGTTCTCACCTGACAGTGATGGGAATGTTAATTTTCTTTTCTGTGTCTCTCTCATGATCTCGGGCACCACCTCGCATCAATACATAACGATTCTTTAGTTTCTCTGCTGCTATTTCTGATAGCCGGGGTCCACATTTGCTACACAGAAGTCAATCAAGACGATGCATTAACAACACATTGTTATTCTTGACGATAATGTTTGTGGTATGTGTAAATCAGTAATCTTCCRCCTTGGATCTGACACAGTAATTCTTGGAGTTGAGAATCACAACTATCTCTCAAAATTTTGGCAATTTGATATGTACTTAATGGTCATGTACTGTACCCTCACCTTCTGCAGTACGATATGTACTTAATGGTCATGTACTGTACCCTCACCTTCTGCAGTACGATATGTACTTAATGGTCATGTACTGTACCCTCACCTTCTGCAGTACGATATGTACTTAATGGTCATGTACTGTACCCTCACCTTCTGCAGTACGATATGTACTTAATGGTCATGTACTGTACCCTCACCTTCTGCAGTACGATATGTACTTAATGGTCATGTACTGTACCCTCACCTTCTGCAGTACGATATGTACTTTTTTAAGAAATTTAGACTTAGTTCACCCTCCAGAGATTGTGTAGTCTGAGCAGCATTAAGATGCACTTGCATCACATGTCTTGCAAGATGCTGAAAGAAAGAATTGATGCAGACAAGATTAGTGCTGTCCACTGGGATATATATATTTGTTTTTAAGACAATCTGCTGTTTTCACACATGGTTGTTTAATTACTCACCATATCTTTTGCTTGATTGTGTTCATCTTTTACAATGAAAATGGTATCAAACCGTGACAGGATTGTAGGCATGAAGTCAATATTCTAAAAAATGATAAACCAATGAAAACATTATATTGCAAAGTTTCTGCAAAGTCTAAGTAGTTGATATCAGATCAATGTAAGATTGGATAGCTTTAGACACCCCTCATGGTGCCCTAACACGTTCTACACCCACAATGCATTACATAGACAGGTGTCAGTAAAATGTGGAATAATATTAATTCAGTCACATTTATTTGACAGTAATTCTTTTTCCAGGCATCTAATGCAAAAACATTCTAGCAGTTTGTCCCCAATGGCTGATGTTGTGGTTTCAAATGTTCAAAACATTTTACAAACATTCCCAATGACAAAAGAGTCTGACAGTGATAAATGTGACTGCTGGAAGTTAAACTATGACAGCTAATGGTTTTGGTGTTTTAGCAGACTTAGAGAGGTTTCTTACTTCTTCTCCTTTAGTGTCATCCCAACGTCCAAATACTGAATTAGCAGCAGCAAGGACTGCACACCGTGAATTGAGAGTTGTTGTAATTCCAGCCTACAAAACAAACATATCACCATCATTTATAGTGTTAACCGATACTTAGAAAGGACCATTGATGTTCTTTGAAACAAGCACAATATGAAGTGACTCAATGACTGAATCCTAGTCAACAAGATTAATTTATCTCTTGTTTATATTGGCAGATACTTACAAAACTGTCATTTTTATTTTTTTATGATTTTTTTTTATCACACGAACAGCAAACCATGTCTGTTTTCTCATGGTCGTTAATAAATGACAGCGCACATTAAATTGCAATACTACATTGCTTAAAATGGCACAAGAAATTGTTTGTTTTCAGCATGTCCGTACCTTAGCAATAGAAATTGTTTGTTTTCAGCATACCTTAGCAATAGAGATTGTCTGTTGTTCCATGGCTTCATGAATGGCTACCCTGTCATCTTCACGCATCTGCAAATAAAGTAGTTTCCTGATCAAGTATGATGATAAAGCTTGACTACAGGTTTAGACTCTGTATATATTGATTGTGTTGTACACCCAAGGTATTGTGTTCTCTGCACAAATTTATTTATCTCAAATTTATTCTTTTGAATTCCTTTTATTTGTGAAAATTTCAAAAGAATAAATTTGACGTCAAGTGCGGAGTACTCAATACCTCGGGATTTATTAAAAGAGTGTATACATGTAGGGTTGCTTTCAAAAATATTAATCAAAGTTCACACTGACCAAGTCAAGCATATATAACTATAGACATGGTGAATCTTGGATTTTTTTAAAATGTTGATGATTAAACTTTAGAAAATTGGACTGTTTTCTGAGATTGGACATAAATGCTAAAACCAAGCAATTCAATACTGGGAACAATAGCTTGAGGTTGTTTGTTTACCTTGTCAAACTCATCAATGCAGACAACTCCACCATCAGCTAATACCATGGCCCCACCCTCCATCACAAAATTACGTGACACTGGGTCTTTCATGACAGAAGCTGTCAGTCCTGCAGCACTACTGCCTTTACCAGATGTGTAGACTCCAATTGGTGAAACCTTCTCCACAAATTTAAGAAGCTGACTCTTTGCAGTACCTGGGTCACCAAGCAGTAACACATTGATATCCCCTCTTCTTGTCAACCCATCAGGAAGTCTGTGAATAAAACATTGACTTTTTTACATCAATTAAATTTGATTAGCGATGAAATATGCACGACTCCTTCTTTGTTGGACATTTAATGTGATTGTTATGTAGCTAAGCTAGATAATAAAAACATCTTTGTAAAAGCTATCACAACAACAATGATGATAGAAAACAATGTTCACCTTTTGCGAGATCCTCCAAACAAAAGACAAGCAATAGCCTTCTTGATATCATCGCATCCATAGATAGATGGAGCAATGCTTCTTGCAATGACATTTGCAACATCTGGTCTTTTAGACAACCTTCTGAACTCTTCTTCTTCATCAGATGTCACACCTGTACTTCCTGAAGTACGCCCTGGTCCATCAGTATCCACAGAGATGCCTACAACCCTAAGATAGGGCTTTCTGATACCAACACCTACAGTGTCTGTTGACTGGATAAAACAATGAGTAGAGAAGCGCTAAGTATGACATCACAGTACATGTACATGTAGCATTGTATGGCTTACCTTGTTGGATTTTTGCATGATTTTTTTGATAGAGAATATTCCCATGACAGTAATTCTGTTACCAGGGACAACCCTCTCAGTGAGATATCTACAAATATCAATAACAGTTTAACAGAGTATAATGGAGGAATACAAATAATTAGTCAACCATAAAATTACAAGTTAAAATTACAAAGTGCATCTCAATTTTATGTGCCTTCATTAAATTTTGAAATCTTAAATTTGACAAACTTGTTATAAATTCTGATGTTTGCTTACAGACACCTTGATATAAAAGTGCCTTTTGTTGACAAGTCAATTATACAAGCTATACAATTTGATTTATAAAATTTTTGATATATAACGCACGCTTTGATTGGCTGACGACCATGTTTATATCAGAGGACAGAGACACGGCTTACCGGCAAAATTTGCTTTTTGCTCGAAAAATTTTATAAAAGAAATATAAAACGGCCGCTTGTGTCTCTGTCCTCTGATATAAACACGTTGGGAGTTGAAAAACACTCGAGAAGCAAGAGAAACACTTGCTACGCTCGTGCAAGCTTGCTTCTCTCATGTTTTTCGAACTCCCACCGTGTTTATATCAGAGGACAGAGACACACTCGCCGTTTTATATTTCTTAAGTCAATATGTATGAAACCAATTGTAAGTCTCATAGAATACAATGAATCGTTAGATCACAGACAATGGATTCCATACCTGTCACAGTATAGCTGCATGTGCCTTGGCATTTCACCATTGGGAACTGCATCTGGTGATTCTTGAAGTTTCAGAACTTGGAAGTCTACACATTTACATTTGTCAGGCATGATGAAGAAAGGGTCMARTGGACAAGGAAGGCGTCCAGTTTGGTCACTTAAATTAACAACATTCATGCTAATGTCAGCCAGTTRTGGMAAAMAGACTCATTGTAATTCCACAAAGAAATTTGCAATAGGTTTTTGGAATGGAGGCTTCCAACAGACCTTTMTTTTAKTGCTTGTAATATTATTGTACATGTAAYAATACAAAGCAATGCTTTTATGTTTTAGAAATTCACCTTGGGCATCTCCTTGGCATGGCATATCCCTCCAAWCCAGGCTTTAAAGGAATGTTATTGATGGTATTCTGACATGAGCGACACTGGATGGAGATACTTGTTGCCTTGGCACGTATAGCTGATGCACTTATAATGATACCTGGGATTTTGACCAACTTGGCCATGTGCTCTGACTGAAAGAATCACAAATCAAACAGCTAAAGGTGTGTTATAAACAAGTGTGTTTACTATCTACCACCATAACAAAGAAGCCTACACTAATTAAAGTGATTTTGCTTACCCTAAGTTCTCTAACTTGCAATGGGTTTGAGCCTGACCGTAGCATAATCTGGATGTCCTGTACGTCCTCATCACCCTGTGGCCTGGGTCTTGTGATATCATCTGCAACTTCTCTTGCAGCTTCCTCAAACTTAATTTTCAATATTTCTAGTTAGTTGATTTTTACTATATCATTTTAAAGCCTACTTATAAATCAACAAGACCCCTCATAACTCATGAGCTTTGACTTCTGAACCAAACATCAAATCAACAAAACACTCCATGTCAGRCAGTCACTATTTTTTTACCCAAAKMCTATGCATACCAAATATAYAGAATAAGTCCACATTTAGGAATATTTTTGACTGCTGGACACTGCAGTCATATCACACCTTGTCTGGCTGCCAAACACTGTAGACACTTTATTCACTAAACTGATGTTTTCAATCAYCTATTATCAGTGTTAATAGTATTGTATGCTTTTTATTTTCCATGATTTCATTGAGAAAARAGCAAAATGGGACTATCGTTATGGACCGCTAGTCAAGCCCAATTTACATATTCTATGTACAGTCAAGTTTTGAATTATTGCTCAACTATGATTTTCATTAAAATATGAGCAATTTTCTTAATGTCTCTAARTGCAAAGCATGGTCATGTTTCCTTACCAGTGGTAGAAGTTCTGTAGGGTTTTTACCAAGTTTATCTGCAAGAATTTCATCATAACTGCCGAGGTCTTCTATCTCAACCTCCAAGTAGTATCGTCCCAGRTTATAATGCTGCTTTAGTTGATCACTAATTAATAATTATAATATTAATATTAATTGTTGTAATCATGTGTAGTACTGGAAGACAAAGCTCAAAGCTGGAGRATTCCATCACAATGCTTAATTTCAAATATAAACACCTTGACTAAGGAAGAGCCAAACATAACATTGTGGAAAATCTCCCATTAAAGTAGGAAAAAAAACTAATTTCAGACATAGTAATTGTCTGGGTTGGGATGTACAAAACCCAATTGGAGTTAATCCAGTGTTAATTCCATGGGTTTTCTAAAAGTTAACCCAGGATTGGCACTAATTGGGCTTTGAACAAACTGGCCCAGAATCCCAATGTAACTAATGGTATTATCATTTTGTTTTGATTTTTTTCTGTTCAATTTCTTTCTTTGCCAGAAAAGAAAATATAAATTTAAGCTTACATGCAGAGAAAACTCCAGAGAAACTCCTGACTTGACCAAGACCGGACCAAGACAGACGAAAGTAAAACATGTTCTAGCAGTTTAAGACTGATTGAAAATAAGCATAGCAAGAAGCATGGGCATACGAGCGTTTTTACCAGACCATAGTTCTTCCATGGACTTATGCACTATTCGTCTTTCMACTGATATATTTATGCCTGATACTTGACAACTAAGTTAAGTATTCAGTTTTTGACGTAAGTTTTACGTAACCAGTAGAAGTTTAAGAATTTCAACGATCTTTCAATGAAAATCTAATGAAAATTCTACAACTTTCTGAACCTAAATTTTCTGAGCACTGTTCACTTAGTTCAAATTAAATTGACCGAAGCCACATCAGGGCTGTAAAAAAAAATTCGATCGACGCTAAAGAACAACACTCTCTGTAATTTCTTACCGGTATTTGTAAGCAAAGGTTCCTTCATGATATTCTCTCAAAAACTCTTTAAATTTTTTCTTAGATGCCAGTCTGTTAATTTCCCTATCATCTTGTTGATCCTCAGATCCAAATGGGTCGCTAACATATATTTCTGCCTGATCAAACCCCGACATATTTCTAACAAAATACTCTTTGAGCTTCAACACAACTGTTCAGCAGCRAGCAATGAAATTTTGGCGCGAAAATATCAATTTTAGAGTTTCTGATTGGTTAACTAYGTTCACGTGACATGAACACATGGTTGCCTTCGACATGAACTGCTGTCGAGGGGTGGGTGGTGATTCAAAATGGCTAGACTAGTATATAACGTTCTTAATAATCATAAATATTTCTAAAAACTAAAAACTTCATGACTCGTAAAACAATAGCCTTAATCCTTTAGTTTAAAGGCGAAATMTAAAGTAATTCAATGTGAAATCAATTGGGCCTTTTTACCACCTGTCCTCCTCTCACCAAGGAACATTTCGTCCTTGATCTACACAGAATTCAACATGTCTGAAGCTAAGCGTCTAAAACTCGACAAAGAGGAAAGAGACAATGTTCTRCCGAGTCTTAAAGAGTCAGGATGGAAAGAAGTAGAGGGAAGAGATGCCATTTACAAAGAATTCATGTTTAAAGACTTCAATCAAGCGTTTGGCTTCATGTCTCGAGTTGCACTGTTGGCGGAGAAGATGGACCACCATCCAGAATGGTTCAATGTGTACAATAAAGTACAAGTTACTCTCAGTACTCACGAATGCAGCGGCCTGTCTCAAAGAGATGTAAACCTGGCAACGTTCATGGATCAGATCGCCAAGACGAAGCTATAAACATTTACGAACATTAATCCGTACAAGTTCAGACAGTTTGTAAATTATTTTTATAAGCGATTCGAATAGACGCGATTGTTTAATATGTCAGCTTTGCACATGTAATTTACTCACTAGTAATAAGGCCATATTATAATTTGTACTGAAAATGTGTTWTTGTTTTTCGAATATTTGAGGTTTCTTTTACCACTTTGAATCACGTGTTTTCKTTCACAAATTGTGACGTCACAAAATATTTTTGTCGTTACCATATTCTATTAGTGGGAAAGTAGCTCTCTTCCAAATTCCAGTATTCTAGTGCTGTTTTASTCTCCTTCGCATCCGTTTTCGTGTCAGGCTTTAAACAGTTGCGAAGGAGACTAGTGCTGTTTGAGTAAGATAYCTGAACATGATCCTTAGGGGGGTTGTTAATGACATCCCGAGGGCAATATAGGGGCGATGTGYAGGTYATGGATATGGCTTATTGCTGAAGTTCAAGAAAATGCATGGTTATCTTCAGAAACTGACAACCTTTAAAAGACCCATGTCAAATCCCTGGCTATGATGTGTTACTTCCCTGGACCTCTGCGGGATGGAGGTGGGGAACTTATACATGTATTATTGAAGATTAGGTTTTTACAGAAATACAATGCAAAATGATATTGGTAAACTGACAGGTTTAAACAATCTGCCTCGTGCTAAGGCTAATGAATCTCAACTACAATATAGAAATAGGTGACTTTCTGTTGATCAGTTCCTTATGGYTAGTTAGAGCTTGAATCCTATAAAACAGGACTATACAAGACGTTTTCAGATAAATTTATCAGGRATATCATTTTCAGCTCAACAGAAAATATCTTGATGTTATTTTCAATCATTATTTAGTGTCCTAGGGGAAATATACAGCAATGAAAACTGATTCAATAATATGATTAAGTAGAATCAAGCAATTTTATTGACCCCCTGACACAGAAAACAAAATTCAACAAAATTGTGTTTCATGGAATCTGGAATCCAGAATATAGGGCAACGGAAATGGAATCCAATAAAACAAGAGAATTCCGCAATCCAGATTACCTGAATCCAATATGGAAGCCAGAATCCTTGCAGAATAGACTCTGGAATACAGAAAGTTCCAGATTCCATTTCATGGGGCAAAACATGATTATTATTTCATCCAAGACAACTGAAAGTAAATTTGTATCCCTTATTCAAGAAGGTGAAAATTTGATTAAAGTCGCCCTTATAATTGGTAATGTAAWAAAATCAAACCACACATCGGATGCCTTTACTTTTCAGTTTCGGGCTTCCTTTATCGATCTGCCATATATGGAAACAAAATGGTCGATTGTTCAGAATTCTTAAAAGCGTTAAAAATCGGGAAAGTCGCCCAAAAAACAAGTCCACTCGTACTTCCAAATAAGGTAAGATTACCATATATGGCTGCTTAACGAATAACAACTTTTGTTGAGCAACTATTTGATATGTATGGTTTTCAGGGGGGGTATCTAGTTGTTTTTCTTTTAATATCTTTTTAAATTGACAAAACATCCATTGCCGTTCTTGTTCATAAAGTTCCACATATCGACAAATTTGGTGATGCACATGAGAAGCCAAACTAAAAAAAACAAAGCGTCTAGTAGAGCCCCAAGGGCGGAGCTAGCTGAAATTTGCAGGAGGGGGGCCTAAATGTCCTTTATTTGCTATAAACAACATTGAAAATAWGAAAAACACAATTAACTTTTTCTGCTCAGAGATGCGGCTCTTCCTGATTCGTCCCTCGATCCCTGCCTGCAAGAGTTCGAAGAGCTTTGTGAAAGAGTAGTTCTAATCTCGTTATAATATCTCAGACTTTTTTTGCCTCAACTCGCCATTTTCTAGACAGTTTTCTAGAACGTTATTTTTCTTTGAAAGACTTGCAGTGCACCTTCAGCCAAAAATGTCAAAACAAAGCCATGGTACGCTAAATATCAACCRCCTCGAACCACCGTTTTCTTTTGTGTTAAAGGTTCACTATGACGTCATATTGGCTCATAATGTCAAAGTGTCGTCATAGAGATAATCTTGGAAGTAATGACCTCCCTCCCCCTTTTCAGGGAGCCCAAGTTACAATTGAAATGAATTGTTTTTCGCTACTTTTGTTGTTGTTGTTTGCAATTTTGATATTATAGCAATATATTCCCCCTCTTTTCCTTTTAAACGAAGAAAAAAATAAAAAGTAATAATCTGCTATTCATTTAGCCACATGTAGTTCCACAGGAAACCCAACTAACACTGATAACGTCGTTCAGATATTCTATTGTTCTAATGCTTAGACGTGATTGGATGAAGTTTTTTGGTGTGAAAACGTTTCATTGATGTGCACGTGATTTATACAAAATGTTTCTAAAACTCGCAAAAATAGTTGTGCATTGATCTTTTTCATATGTTTCCTTTTCAKCTCACATGTAAACCATGTGTTGTAGACATGATAATTCACAAGGACCTTCAAGTATATTTCAGTTCATTTCTGTAAAGGATCAAAAGTGCTCGTTCTTGCATTGGCTATTTTTCGAAGAATACAAACCATTCTTATTGTTTTGCATATAAAATAACCCGTGGGTTATGAGTACATTCTTGGTTAATAAGGTAAGCTTGGCGCCAGTTTGTCTACTTTAAATCCAGATAACGATCTTTATACTACCTAAGTATTTTGGCTTCTTGTTTCAAAGGTAATCAATTTAAGTCACTCATATCATGCCGTTTTACCTTATTTTATTGAAAAAGACAATCTTTGTAAAGTTCTCTATCTTGTTGATGTATTGATCTCCGTATTTTGATGCTAAATGGATCGTTGACATTCAGTTGTAATATTTCGTTCAGGTCAGTCAGGAAGAAAATACCTTACGTCAGAGCTTTGCTTGGGGCAAGAGAACMCTGCCARCCTGATAAGAGAACTTATCAATTGAGATACAAATCGATGATTTCAAAGCCCTTTGCACCCTTTTAACTTGACTGTAGCCATCTGGTCAGCATTTGAATGTGCGAGRGGGTTTTCATTCAAGATTATGTATCATAAATTCAAATATGCAGCCAATCTGAACTTCCTAAGGGCGACAAAGTGAGGAGTTGCTATGAAAGGTTTCTTTGACTTTGTCTCGGTTTTTTTGTTGGTTTTGATATTGAGACTTTTAAGGAAAAAATTCCAATTATCTCATTTACCTCTTTGTACAAGTGTACAATTGACCAATGAAAAGCATTTGTGATATCTGATGAAAACCAATATCGTTATTGACCTGCTAATAAAACCAATAGTAGACTTCCACTAATTGTCCATTGTTGGCAATTATTTTACAGCAGAAAGTTGTCCGTGAACGTTGCTTTGATTTGTCGGTATTTCCGTTTAAAGTTATCAGCGCTCGACGTAGAGTCCCTGAGAATGCTGACTATGCGAGACAGCTATATTAGAACTCGGCTCACTAGCAGTGCAGGCACAGAAAGCAAATAGCCCACCATCGAACAGCATTGCTTTAGTTTATAAGAATGCTTTTGCTAAAGAACTCAACATAAATTATGAAATAATGAAGTTGTGCTGTTGACGACTGCAAAAGCAGTTTATAGTTCATCTTTTTATCATCTGTTATCTGCGTAAAAAGTGCTTCTCTTGCTTGAGCTGTTGTTGATTTGACAGAACCGTGTGACCCGATAAGCACTGATCATCGGACGGTAATTAAGTGGTTTTCTCCAGTGAGCCGTACTGCCAGTTGACTTATCTCACCAACTAACTCTTCGATTGTAGAAACGATCTGCTGTTCCTTCGCTGGATTTATTGACAAAGTTACAGGAAAATTTATTGTCATCATCAAAAAAGACCCAAGCTACAGAGGTTAGTAAAGTTATTTAGTAATCCAAGGTAACATTTTTCACCGCTTGCCTTTGATAAGAAAGAAAAACCTTCGCACGTCAATATGTTGCTTTATTTCGACCAGGTCATCATATCCACTTTTAACTGAATATGCTAGACATACTTTTGGAAATGCGTTTTCTCTTAATYACAATAATATATATAGGAAGAATTGCAGTCTAAAAAAGTCTTTTCCTTGATGCGTCATAGTGCGTGTTTACTGTTCTTGAATTGGTTATTAATCCCTAAATAGTCTTCAAGCAATGTTGTCTAAAATTCTTTAACGTTTTGCMAGTAATTAGTAAGGAAACTACCTAGTTTTGAATTCTTAGTCAAGAGGGCCTTAACTCAGCCAGATAGAGTGTATCTGAARTGATGCAACTTACCTCGATCGTACATCGTCAGCAGCAAATAAAGATACTAGCTAGATATCGCCTTATCGGGCCAATTCTGATAATTGAAAGTGATAGAATTTTTAAAATAAACTTTGTGGCCTTATCCAAGAAAGTGTGTTGATACGGTTTTGTTTATATAGAGTATAAACATCGGCTTTATCATGATTTTATGTTTCTTTAGATTTGAATGTAGTACGACTTTGTCTCAATAATGGAATGGCTACGGGAAAAAATTAGTGAATGCCTGCTTCTGATTTCGAATTTTTCAAAGAACGAACATTATTATTTGACTAAGTATACCGTTATATTTTTGGCATTTTAAAAYTAMTTCATCACTGACAAATTTGTTTCGCGCCATGCGATATTGCATGTCGATAAACCGCAAACCATCCAGCCCTCAACAGAAATGTAGAACTGGAGATTGTTAACATGAATTTACTTGATGTCTAGCGCTTCTTATCCCTCAATAGGGTGCTAAATATATCATTAATATTTTAACCGTTTAATGTGGCAAAACACTCTGGGGAGGGGTGTGACAAACTAATGTATAGATACTCGCATGCGAAGCGAACAAAACCGGACCTTAAGCAATATTAGAAATTCCTGTTCAAAACGTGCTTCCTTGATACTAATCTACTTGTTCTGAAACGACCACCAAGCGAAAACTAAGTACATCTATATACAGTCATTATATGGTGGCCTTGCTTGTAAATTATATTATAAATGATTATAAAAAGACTGACTATATGAGGACCGCAAAGCAACAAACACGATATAGAAATAAGGAAAGTTATATTGCTTAGAAGGAAGCAATTCCGGGAAAAACACCCTTAGGAATAAATTCGGAAAAAATACTTTCCGCCCTCGCTGGGATTCGAACCCACGACCCTCGGATTTATACTACCGATGCACTACCAGCTGAGGTCAGACTGGGACTGAGCAGGTCAGGGTGAATTAGAATATATAAAGATATGAATATGAGGATCGCATGGCACTATGATCAACATGATATAGAAATGAAAGAAAGTTATAGTGCTTAGAAGGAGTTTATTTCGGTGTAATTTCTCCATTGCAGACGTCTTATGTAGTTCGCTCCCACATCGATCACGGGTTCTTCTGCGACCTGCAGTGCGTCAGTCCAGCGGTGTCTATTACTAGCCTCGATCGAGTTGCTGTTGGTTTTACTGGAAGTGGTCGGTTGGGTTGGATATCGAACCATTCCGCACCATTAATGGAGGCTGCATTCTTTACCAATCAATTCCTGGAAATACTAAATATGCAATAGTCAGAGATTTGATTTAGGCGCATTACATCCAGATAAAAGCTCTTTTTAATGTTGTATGGTCTTTTGCTTCATGGATAGAGCAATACAGCAGAATTTTTGTCATGAGATGATGCGTCTTTGAAGATAAGAGATATTATTTGTATGTTTAGAGATTTTGTGACGTGACGTGATTGCTGGTTTGTGACCATTGTTTGCATGCATGTGTTGCTTTGTGTACTTAAGGTAGTTCCTTGTTACTGTGCATTGGTCGTGTGCATCCAGGCACTTGCACTTTGCAAATGAATCTTACTCAGAATTGACTAGGAAACGTAGTGGTTTGTACCTTGTCTTTACTGCTCCACTTGATTCCTACATCTATACCTTGTGTAAGCTAAGAAACTTGTTTGCCTTGTCTGCCCCCCCCCCCCCCCCCCCACTCAGGGGGGGGAGGTACTTCTATTACAAGTCATTTCCTTTTTTTCTTCTCAGTTCTCTTTGCAAATTACTCAAAGTCCAATATTGCACCGGTATGTCATACGTACTACCATGAATAGTGTGTACTATACTGACTATACTGTATGACTACACTATACTGTCATATAGTTATTAGTATGCACTATTTCAACAAATCATAAAATATTACAAAGTTTATTTTACATTTTTCTTGTTTCTTTTTTCTTATATCCTAACCACCACATACAGTCTGCCTTGATTAGATAACTACAGGACACCCTTTCATATCTTTATTTTTGAATGAATAAATAAACCCGAATAAAAGTGCATTCAGTATAAATACAGTAGACTACGGTAGCTGGTAGCTGGACTTTGCCATCTAGAGCAGTCCTTGAATCTGAAATGATACCAACTTAACGGTGAGAGTCGTTCATTCTAATGTAACGGTGGATTATATAGATATTGATATATTTGACTTATTCTTAAAATGTTAAAGTTGGTTTTTCACGGGTAACCGATAGTGGTAGGAATGGTCACCTAAAAGAGTTTGACTGAAAATCTCTCACAATCTCGACCTAGTAAACTTTCAAAGCACAAGTAATATCAAAGTCGATTTTGACCATAAAATCGTTACATAAGCCTTTTTTGGACCTTTAAAACCTTTGCCAGGAAAAAAATTATTTGAAAGAAGCAAGGGCACCACATTTGCTTGTCAGCTCCTCCTGAATGTTTTTGTCTTTACACTTAGATCCAGATGAGTAAGCCACCTCTTGCATCTGGGTTCGTCTTTAGTGAATTTTGCGTTGCTACAGTTGACTCGACTCGCTTGTGCTTGTTTTATAACTAAGGTTAATAGTTGGGGGGGGTTGGGTAGACGTTATATTTAATATAGCAGGGGGGTAAGAGCTATTTTATTGTGCTTCAAATTCACTTGGATTATCACAGAAGAATGGTTTCAAGTCGAGACTAAACTTGATTCTTTTGTCTATCAAGGCCAGCCTCGACTGAACTGAAACCATTGTTTCGTGTTCATTCAGGGCRAATCTCGAACATTATGTTGTGGTAGTTGCCCTTGGAAACTGCATCTTCCTTTATACGGCGACCATCCAGTTTCCGCGGGCAGCTAGGGCATAATACCCACGATTCAATGACTCTATTGTTTTGATTTGTAAACGATGGGATAGTCCCATCATTTTTCATAGTGATCACTTTTGCGGTTTTTGGAGTTGTCATTCATTAAGTCAGCTTTTTTTAAAAATGCACTAACAAATAATCCTTGGTTTAGCTTTRTACATTTAATATCACAGATAGACTTTCTTTGCGGACTCAAAAAATAATGAAATTATGATCCAAACTGCGGTAAATAAACTTGACACTCACAAAATCAAAAAAAGAGAAAATTTCACAGCAAAAAAATCACAGTCACCAAAAGGGACTTGGTGTCGAAAACCCATGATTTAACGGCTTTACTCTTCTACTGAAAATTGTCAATTTATTTATACCCACAGTGACTTTTTCGGTCGTTATTTATAGTATGCTCAAAATACCATTCTCTCGGGTGTAGCGGACCTTCCGTAATTTCCGGAAAAGCAAGAAAATCATTTATCAGTGTTTAGTTCTCAAAATAGCTATCAAGTGGATAATATGTAATTTAGACTACCTGAARGAATCTTTATTGTCAATACTGTAAGGTGAAGGAGAGAGGTACTTGACGTAAAGGAAGTAGTCTCACACGATACAAATATAGAATCTTTACTTCACTACATCGACGACACTATCATCATGTCGTGGTTCGTGGTATTACATAACYTTACACAAATTTTGAYCAAAAAGCTCAATTGTTAAAAAACCTGTTGCTGAACCCAAGGTGAGAAGGAAAACCAACCCTGATAATTTTACTGGAATTAATATTCGGTTTTATACAGCAATGTTGTTTGTTTTACCCGGACCTCACTTTGACAAGGAAATTATTTYCTTCGGCAAGAGTTGGGGAGCACTAAGATGATCTAAAAGACATACTTGGAATTTTCGTTGCAAAAAGTGTTGAGAGTAAGTGATGATTATATGAATACACGACCTTTCATTGTATCGTCATCAATCGTTGCTGTCCTATGATGTACAGCCTTAGTGGGGGTTGTTATTTCTCGATATAATCTTACTAGACTCATGAACACTATCTTAAGTCTTCAGGTCAAACATTTCTATCTACAGCTTCATCCTGATATGTAACAGGAAAAAACCTAAGTGATTTGATTCTCTAGACTAAATTAACGGCATTTTTTGTGATAAGTAACTGTTTTGTCTTAAGCACAAAAATTACGCTATAATTCATAGAGTTGAATGTCATCAAAACCTTATTTAACCTAAGCTTATGAAATGTGGCTAATAATYTTGGAAAACTCAGAAAGTCAATATGATTTTTTTAATATTGGACGTCTCGATGAGATTTTGTAAAAGATGTAAGAAGCCATTACAACGAAACAATCGCCATACAGCACGATTTCTTTTCACCCTGAGTCATCGTTACTTCTTACAACAGATTGCATTCATTCATCGTGCCTTGTTTGGTGTTGAGTTTATTTACACCTAATTGAAAACATGTTGTCAGGTTCAAAAGCGTTACCTCTTCAAAGCTAAGACCGAAAGGGAGCTTGGGAAGGGTTACAAGTATCGCTCGTACAATGAATAATCATGTCTGCAATAAAAACTCTCTATCAAGGTGTATCAACCACTTRATATCTATATATGCAAATATATGTCAGTATACTTTTGAACAACGCTTTTAGAATTAGTTGTAYATCCATGCTCACAAGTCAATGCCAGAAATAATCTAGGAAATTATCATTGTAAACAAACACTTGAATTAGCTGTTATATAATCTTTCCTGTAAAACAATTCTATAAAATATGCACATTTTCTCATGGACATTGTTTTKGTTTATGCGAAACCATCTTTTCTCATATTTTTGTAAAGTAAACGATAATAGTGTAAATGGATACAAACTCTATTTCACGCATTGCGGACTTTTTTCTGACTTCATGATCGATTCATGAATTGTTAGCCATACACGAAATGTGATTGTACTCGATCAATAGAATACCTTGTTTACACAAGTCACCAAGACAGAAAAGATTATATACGTTGTTCCTGTGTTTTATTGTAAGYGCAAACAATTATGATATAAGAAACGACATTCGTGTCGTTTGTCTTTTCTAAGAGGTATTTCAGGTTTATTTCTCTAGTAGTTGATCACTATTACTGTAGACTCATATATCATTATACAGATTCAGGTCGACAGATGGATGTTTCACAGTGCTAACTATAAGTACCGCTAGTATTGTATGACGTATTTTCAGCGAGAACAAAAAGCTTTTCCATGGATCACTAGTAAAACCGTTATGTAACTTTTGTCATGAAAGTCTGTAATTTGCCCGGTCGAAAACTAGASGAAATCTGAAAAATTTTCMAAAAAGCCTTGGCCAAATTGTAGATTGSTAGAGGTCCTTGTGTGACAAACCCTTGTAGTGCCTATTGTCTGTTAGCTTCGTGGGGGCTCTAATCAAGGTAATGCCCAACAATAGAGGGCGTTAATTGGTCTTTTCTGCTCTCTGATACGGAATACGACCTCCTCTGAGACGCCATTCTGTGCACACAGCATGGAACTCTTGACTACAATAAAACGTCTTTTTGATAGCACACGTCTGCTCGTTATTGTCTTTTGATTCTGATTTGCTTGTTTTTAGTAGAATTCAATTTTGAAATGCATCTTTCTTGTCGTCCGTTTTATACGCTACAGCAAGATAGAGAAGTATCAGTTATCATTAATTCTCTTCAATTGATGTAAGAATGATAACTGTATTGTAACTGAAATATTCATAAAAGTGATTAAATGTTGCATGCCATACGCATAAACCGTAGCGCAATTACTGGTTAGTGTAGCTATGTGCACACATGAATGTGTGTATAATTTGACCCCTAGTGAAGTAATCATTGGACGTCGTTATACACAAATCACTTTGTTTGTCTGCCCCCACTGATGTTTGCCTTGCATCGTCCAAACCTATTTTCTTTTTCGGGATAATTTCAAGTCAGGTTTACTACAACAGTGTTTCAGGATCGTTTTTTCACAATCTATCTACGACTAGTCTCGAAATAAGGTAATTTAGCTCCAATAACATAGAATGTATTGTTATAAATGGACTTTGTTTACGTTGGCATAATTTAGAGCCCACCAGGCCGTGTCTTCTTGCTCTTTCATAGTGGTGCTCGCTTTAGTAACGTTTTTCAAGTACTGCAGTCAAGTTGAAATTCTTGAAAATGAAGATTATGGGAATGCGGTCATTTTGAACAAGCCCTGCTCTAGTTTTCTTGAGCAAAAGAAGGACAACTATTGGCCAGTGTTTCAGTACAAGTTTCAAGCTGGTTCATTTTGAGATACTTTCTCACAAAACTTCCAAACAGTCGTAACTAACTGAAAATTGACCCCAAAACTTATCAAGTGGTAGCGAGGATAGTCTAGAGAGACAGTAAAATAATTTATTGACAATGTTATTAACAATTTTTAGGACAACGAATATGCTCTATTTTTGCATGTGACGTCTCTTTGTTCTAGGTGTACGTCTATTATCAACACGATTAGGAATTTTTTAAAGAAGATTTAATGATGGTTATTCAACTAAACACCCGTTACTCACGTTCCCGTCCAAATCGATTTAAAACGTTTTCGTTTAGAGTTCACAATTCACTTTCGCACCGATTTTATCGTCTGCAGTTCTCATTAAACAATGACATCAAATAATGACTTATTCTGAAAAAAATCAGGATCCTGTCAGCACGTGGGAAATATTCATTAACGAACTTTTTGTCAGTAATTTCTTGCTACGACCATGAGTGATTGGCGTGARTGTGACRMGAAGCTAATTGCAAACTTTTTTCATAGACTAGAGCTTTCTTACAGTTTTTTACCATTCTTAATATTACTACAACACAGAATAGTCTAGTAGTCGCTGTTTTGGCATCGATGTCAGCTTTGACGACTATAGATCTATTTTTAATTGCTATTAGGAAAATGTCAGCCAAAGGACTTAGAAGAACTGACTCTCAACTCACTTCCTGAATTCGCCATAGCCAAGGTCATTCAGTGAAAGCTAGTCGACAAGATACCAATATTGTGGAATTTAGCCACAAGTAAAAAACAAAAGTTGACGTTGTTATGCCCCCTTTGATTGCTTCAAAGTGCACTTCAATTGAGACTCACTTCAAGTGTTTTCTTGAACTCCGTTAAAGCAATTGTCGGCTTGTAAAGCATTCCTCAGCGAGTTCATGTCGTGCATAAAGATAAAGACTTAGCATCATTGTCACTCCGTTTGGCTGTTTTCAGATAATTACGAACGAATGAAGGTTGAAAGCCCTCAAGCAATCCATTTCTTATTKCCAAGGTTCATTGAATTCTTCATCATAACCTTCTCACAGGARAATACAGCATAAGCTACGAATAACCTTAAGAAAGTGCTAGTATTCTTGTTGGCATATAATTGGTGATTCCATTTTGAATGGTCAAAGATGACGAGTCACGCAAATAAACAACCGTTTGTCATTTGGATCTAATGTTTAGTTATGTCTACAGAATGTAGTAGTTTGTATACGTGAATGTTTTGTTTCTTGGCTTTTATCGCAAAGTTTATTAGTAAATATTATGTGCGAAAGACTTTGTGGTTATCAACAACAAGAGTAATTTGTTTTAAATCGGTTGTTTAATTACCAAGCAACTTCCTTAGCTGTCGGTGTAAGTGGACCCCCCAGGTTGCTGTTGTTTCAGTTCTAGCTYTATTGGTCGTAACATGCCAGCATTTAGACTATACAGCAAACATTGCTTAAACACTTGACCACTCATCTAATTATTGTGGTATGTCTACATAGTGAAGGAGGTTTAACSGTATGTCGTACCTGTAATAGCTGTACATGTCTTTCTTCTTGCCGCTCATCGACAAAGGTTCTGTTTTGAAGAGCTCAGATTAAATCTCCCTGGGTGAAGTCTTACACTTCTGCCCCCTGAAACGGTGAAGAAATCTMTTTGCAAGGATCCAGCTGTGCTGTATATAGGCGGCCCCAGCAGAGCTCGCACTTTATTATAGAAATTGTAATTGGATAAGGCAATTATCRCACTTTTTCATGCTGTGGTCAAGGGGGAAAAGTTCCCTCGTAGATTCAGTGATGGTTTTTGGATTCTCTTGCGAAACAACCGATTGGTCAATGCTCTCAATATCTCTACATGAGAAAATTTGGTCTGGTTCTTGTAAAATTACAAAACAAAATTGTTTTTACAAATTTAGAAATAAGCCGGCGCATTCTACAGAAAGACATCTCAAGATAGAAAATCAAAAAACGAATGATGTACTAGATGTAAATGGTGTAGAATTTCATGAAGTATAGTATGATTACTTTGTTCATTCTTTGCAGACTGATAGCTACAGAAAAATGATGGTTCTTTTGTACTTCTTTTTGGGAATATTATTGCCATCTAAAATATCATCCATTGACTCAGCAAGTTCTGCTGGATTCAAAAGACAAGTCCGTCAAAGTGAAGCATTCAAAGTAGCCGAGCAGGCAATGCTCAAGTCTATGGGCCTAAAGACTCGACCACGGCCAAGGAAAGGGTTTCGGGTTCCAAAGTATATGTTAGATTTGTACAATAGCGACATTGAACATCCTGAATGGACTTCCACGAGATTCAGATTCGCTAACAAGTGGACGTCAGTGAATACAGTCAGAGCGTTTCATCATCAAGGTACGAAATCAAATCGYTGTAGTAGCAAAACGTTAACTTTTCCTGGTCAAAATCACTTAAAATTGTCAAGTTTATATGTCTGCTACCGTAAGCCGAAGCAACTTGTAAAAAAACTCAATAAATAAAAATACTGCTAAAAAACTAGTCAAATGCAAACGATCTTAAAATGCAATGTCGAATATCTTAATCCAACTCACCAGTCATCATTCAGTGCATATTGGCGGAAACATACCAAGTCTGTTTTCAACAAGAATGATTCTTTTTAATTTTAGATGACCTCTTCCAACGTCAAGCTGGCAAAAAGACCATCATCAAATTTGATCTTTCAACGTTTCCCAAACACGAAGCKGTTCATTCTGCAGAACTGCGCCTCTTTAAGAAAGAACCAATGAAACTTGCAAATAACACGCACATTAGAATAAAGTTATACCGCGTTACGCAGACGAGCTGGCAACCCATGCTCACTACAACTCTTATTGATTCAAGAATTGTAAATATTACAGCAAAAGGTTGGGAGACATTTGATGTTCGCACAGCGGTAGATCATTGGATTCGTAACCCGTTGAATAATCTCGGTCTTGAAGTACAAATCACGTCTAGAGATGGAAAACCGGTCAACATATCAGCTACGGAATTTACAACAAACATTGAAAATCGAGAAAAAGAGAGACCACTGCTCGTTACGTATGCGCACGATCCACACAATCACCATCACGTAAGAAAGAAACGCAGCACTCACTCGTCAAGGAAACGTAAGCGACCCCAATACTGCAGACGTCATGCACTAGCTGTAGACTTTAGCGATGTGGGCTGGAATGATTGGATAGTAGCTCCTCGAGGATATGATTCATTCTATTGTGGAGGTGAATGTCCTTATCCYATAACAAAACATCTGAACGGTACAAACCACGCCATTGTACAGACCATAATTAAGGGCGTTAACCCTAAAGTACCAAATGTGTGTTGCATACCTACAACTTTGAGTCCTATCAATATGCTTTACATGGATGCATCTGATAAAGTGGTGCTTAAAAAGTACAAAGAGATGGTGGTAGAAGGGTGTGGATGTCGGTGATCACWACTGATGTGGGCTGATTGCCATTATTCGCTACTCAACGCCGTCTCTCCATGCTAAGACTGCTGAACACAGGGTATGAATTGCCCTCAAACCCCTACAGAAGGAAACTACCATAAAATAAARTATCAAGACATTCCTTGATACATAATATATAAATAGACCGTTTAGCATGAACTGAGAATAGGCCAATATTAATCTAGTCCAGTTAATCCACTTCTCTCGACTATACACATCTTATGTTTTCAAATTGGCAACGTATCGTCAATATTGAGGATGTTCGTATAGAGTGTAGGCTGTGAAGACAATTGACCCGTGAAAGAAAATCATTTCAGCCAGTAAAAAAACAAGGGTAACGAATACRGTTCGTAAGGGCAAATTAGCATAGCTCGTCAAATAAAACCAGTATTCACAACCAATGGATTGGCTATTACTATAAGTTTATAAAAAAAATGGCGACTAGATTTGAAAATGTTAAACACTATGTATTACTCAAAASCAAATAGATCATTAAATTTCCTTATTCATTGGTTGTGAGTATAATAAAACTAATCATTCTACTGAATCTCGTGGAATAAATAGTCGATATTTTACTGTAATAAATCCACAAGACTTAAACACGCGTGTTCAATAAAGTAAGCGCCGTGATTTTCGTCTTTCAGAAAAACGACAACATATGTTCATGTTAAATATATTAAATTACGGCTAGAAGGATTCATAATAATTACTAACATGTATTTTTGAATCACCATCGTTTTTAACATGAAGCTAGTGTCAAAAATACATGTTTTGAATAAGTATGTTTATGTTACTTTAGTTCTTTTACGAACGACAAGAATCGGTTCACTAAGTATTGAAAGTATACTCAAGCACACGTATTGATTCRGCATTTTTCATCAAAAAAGAAGAGTTTAGACTGTGGTAAATTATGTTTAGCAACTTTTAAAAATTCGAAAAAAAGTGCGCTTTTGGGGGAACAATTAATGGAAAAACTACACGTCAATTGGCGATCTCTTTTACACTGCGTTAGCGTCAAAAACATGCAAATATATTCTTTAACCACCCGTGCAAATGCAAGAGATCTGTGAGTATAGACGACAATGAAAATAGTTTGAAATCTCACGAGTTTTATCTACATTTTTGCATCTTTACACACAATTGAGGCTAACCGTAAAAGAGATCGCGAGACTCAACTATTGCACCATTCTTCTTATTGAGATGTCAATTTTTAATAGCCCCAAAATTCATCAAAATTAATCTACCAAATTCGTCAATAGTTAAATGCTAMGATTTTTTAAGAATACGTGATTGGTGCACGGTCTGAGGCTAACATTGATAGCCGTGYGTGACGTCAGTTTGTGACGTCATTGTCTATTCCCGTTTTTTATTCGCTTGTTCATTTTTTTACTTTGTGTCGATATGAAAGTTGAATAAACCAAAATTGCTGAATCATTAGAAGCACTGTAAATAAATAAATCACATGACAAAAAAAACCCCTGAAGTTGTTAACGTGCTATATTTCATCATGAYGTCATAAWTGTTAGAATACTACAAATATTGGTGAGTCACTTGGTTTGTTAAATGAAATTTGGCTCAATAATAGACAGCATATTAGTGTCTTGACTACATGATAGACGGT